TTTTTTTATTCAGCTGGCCCCGATCACCCGCTCGAAGACAAAGCAAAAAGCAGGAAGTCCGTACCCATTACGTGAGCGGAAAGAGAAGAAGACCTTGTCAGAGCAGTTCAAGGAGATCGAGGAGCAGATCAAAACACAGTACCAAAACATCAGCCCCTTTTCGAAAATGAGCCAGCGAGAGAATGAAGGCTCTAATTCTGCGCAACCCCGGGATGTAGATAACCCCATCTATCGTTCCTATAAGATCTTGAGTGAACGAATTGAGAAATTTTCTGGGGTAGGCGACCGAACCTTTGAGGAATTTCTTGAGGACTATGTGGATGTGATTGAGCGTTTTAATATCTCATATTCCAATGCTAAAAGTTTACTACCTATGTTTCTGTCAGGGTCCGCAAGAGTTAAATATAACTCTATAGCAAATGCAAAGACCTTGACATGGGACGATCTCGTCACGAAACTTGCTAAGAAATGCAAAAATGAAGCCGTTCTTAGCAATGTCCGGGATGAACTGCATGGATTAATACAAGGCAAAGATAGCGTGGGAGAGTTTGCCAGAAAAGTCCTCGCAAAGGCTAAAGTCGCCTATCAAGGCCAAGATAAAGCACTCATCTCGCAACTCGCGATCGATGTATTCATAAAAGGGTTGCGCTCGGACATAAGAAAAGCTATGCGAAGATTGCCAAAAAAGGAAGACTTTGAGGAAGTTGTGTCCAGTGCCGAGAGAGAAGCTCGAATTATTGATCAAGAGCGCGTAGAAGAACGCGAATCTATGAGGGCTATCAACTCTCTTTTAGTCAACGAAAAAATCGAAAAGATTCAGGATCAGCTCAACAATTTATCCATTGATCGCACCCGAAATACGAGACCTGCGTGGGAATCTACAAGTAATCGAAATTCATCAGGAAATGGTTTCGCGGGCCGAGGCCGAAGTCGCGGTTTCCGTCGCCCCTTTCCTTTCCGTCCAGCCAATTTTGGCACTAGAGGAGGAAGAGGTGGCGGCCGTGGCATGTTTCCATCTAGGAACCCCTTCTTGGGCCCTCGAAATTATTTCCCGGGTTATTTTCCCCCGCTGTATCCGCAGTATCCTGCATATCCTCCACCGGACCCTGCAGTACATTCTCCGCGATCAATAGACCCTGCCGTATATCCCCCGCGAACAACCGTAAGAGGGAGAGGAACAAACGCGCTGCCATTACCTTCCGCTAACCTACTTTTTGTCGCCTGTTTGTTCTTTTTGATGATGCCTGTCATTGCCCAGCCTTACCAAATTTGTGGAACATCGCAGTTTGCGCAAGCCTTTTCTCTCCCTAAAGCTATATCTTGCAAAGCGTCCCCCGGAGAGCTAATGATAGCCACTAAAGTCCAGCTGTT